GGAGGAAATCGAGCCCCTCTCTGCAGAGCCCTCAGGCGCCAAACCAGCCCAGCCCAGCTCCCCTCTCCCGGAGTGTCGAGGGCACCAGGCATGGTGTGGAGCTCACTGCACCCTCCCACGCCCCACCTAGTGCCGGGCCCCCACCTTCCTCTGCCAGGGGGGTGGTGGAAGGGGGCGGTGCTACTAGGTGGGGCAGGAGCAGGGTGAGTGTGGTGCCGGGTGGCACCTGGCGGTTACTGAGCATCTGTGTGGTGCGTGGCAAGCACTCCGCAGGGATGGCGTCATGTAATCTTCATGGCCAGCTTTGGAGACGCTCCGATGTGCCCCACTCACACATGAGGAAATGGGCCCGAGATCGATTCACTTGCCCGAGGTCACACGGGTATCAAGCGGCAGGGCCCAGGCTGGAACATAGGTCTGCCTGACCCCACTCCACTCCATCGCCTCCCTGGGCGCCACAAGCAAAGGTCAGGGTGCCAGAGCAGAATGGCATGGAATGCAGGGGTCAGAATGGGGTCTGAGAGTCTACCTGTCCAGGCACAGAGCCCAACATCAATGCCAGCCCCTGCCAGAGCCTGCCGGCCCCTCACACACAGCACCCACGGGAGACACAAAGGGGGACAATGCTTCTGGCCCAGCTGACAGCCGGAAGTCATGGCAGACAGCCTCTGGCCGCGGGAAGGGACCTCTCAGGCGCTCCTTACCTTCCTGCAGCTTTACACTCTGGAGGTAGAGGGGGTTCCTCAGGACATTGCAGCGGCCAGGCTCGTCCTCCTTGGTAAAGAGCAGCAGGTCCGAGTAGGCAAACAGGGTCACCTGGATCCGGAGAGAAAGCACAGAATGAGACATGAGTGCTCTCTCGCTTTCTATCTATCTATCTATCTTATCTATCTATCTATCTATCTATCTATCTATCTATCTATCTATCTATCTATCGCGAGCGGGCGCGCACACACACACATAGTGCACAGCCCCTTCCTGTGTGGCCCGTTGACTCCTTCCACTGTGAACCAGATGCTACTCCATGGCCGTGAGTCTGGGGTCTCTTAGGGCCCCTGCAGGGAGCCACGGTGGCATTGTGGTTACACACGGGACTGCTAACGGTAGCACCCACAGGTTGAAACCACCCTGTTAGCTGCTCCTCGGGAGAAAAATGGGGATTTCTACTCCTGCAAACCAAGAGTTCCCATCTTGGCAATTCTCGGGGGCCGTCTGTCCAGTCCAGGAGGGGCGCTGTGAGTCAGCATCGACTCACCGGTAGTGAGAGTTTTGAGTCCTTGGGAGAAGGGAGGGGTTGAGTGCTCAAGAATGTATGACAGACGCCTTGCACGAGTGCTCGGTGTTTGCTCAGCCTCCTGCTAAGGGCAGGAAGGGAAAAGAAGAGAGGCCCTGGTGTGGGTAGGGGTGGGGGGGGGTCTCTGTGCTGTGTTTGGGGAGATGAGGGGAGCCCTGACGGGGGTAGGGGTGGGGGGTATCTGTGTTGTGGTTGGGGAGATGGGGGTGCAGAGGGCAAGGGAAGACTTGGCTGCTCTGCAGACCCCTAGAGGGCTGGGTAACTGTCAGCATCATCTCGGGCTGAACCAGAAGCGGACTCTCAGTGCGGGCCTCAGCCCAGGGCAGAGGCCCGGCCAGCAGTCAGACTGCCTCTGCTCCCTCCATGTCTCCGCAGGGAAACATACCCAGAATAGTCAGCGCCCCTCACCCTTCACGGCAGGAGGCCGCTCCAAACTTCCCTCTGGACAATATCCTCACAGGCCCGCCTTTCTGATCCGATGGCCCGCCGTCTGCAGCCCAGCACCCTTGACCTTGAGCTTACAGAATGTTCCGTGTGTGCTTTTATTTTACTTTGTACCTGTCTGGCTACAAGGGCACTGGGCTTGGAGTCAGTCAGACGCACTGGAGACGCTATCCAAGCTCTGGCACCACCCGTGGTTCTTAGGGGCCCTGGGTCGGCTCTGACTCACAGCAGTCCTGTGCACTGCAGACGGAGCCACCGCCCCGGCCTGCGCCATCCTCGCGGCTATTCTTGTTCAAGCCCATGGCCGGAGCCACTGCGTCCATCTAGCCCGTCAAGGGTCTCCCTGTCCTTCACTTCACCAAGCTGGAGGTCCTCTTCCATGGGCGGGTCTCTCCTGCCATCATGTCCCAAACACTTGAGGCTAAAGGAGCACCCTGGCTGCATGGCCTTCAAGACAGGTGCTTCTACGGCAGATTCCGTCATCCGCGTCAATGCCGCAACTCAGCGGCACCAGGCCTTCGTCCTTCGTCGTCTTGGTGCGCGTGGAGCGACGGTAAATGCCACCACTGGGTCGGGGGGCACCTTAGTCATCGGAGCGGCATCTTGGCTCTTCAACCCTTTAAGCAGGTTTGCCCAAAGGAACCTCGGCGTCTGATTTCTGCCCGGATGCGGATGGTGGGGCCAAGTACGAGGAGCGCCCCGGCATCTTCCACCTCTCCCCGTCTGTCAGGATGGAGACTGTCGGCCCAGTTGTCGGGGATTTTTGTTTTCTGTAGGTGACTCGCTCAAAGCTCACTGCCACTGAGTGGATGCCAGCAGGGTAGACCTGAACGAGTGTGCTGAGACCGTAGCTCTTCATAGGTGTATCCACAGCTAGTCAAACTGCTCACCTTGCATTTAGCAACCTGATGCAGAAGCCAGCACGCCCCCAGGCCTGCTAGGCCACTAGCTAGCCGTGAAGAAGTGTAAGTTCCCTTAAGCCCCTCAGCTTCCAGTTCTCATGCGTGCAAACAGTGAGGGTCCCTGCCTGGCTTTCTCGGGGGACTTCTTTCTCGGGCTCTTTGTACCCAGGGCTAAGGCGCCGCCATACGATGAGGTTTATTCTTGCTAAATCCCTCCCAGACAATTCTACATGCCTTAAGGTGACATCGGGTGAAAGGAAAGCAGGTTATTTACGCTCTGATACGGACATATGTGCAACCATTATCTCCTTCACGTGTGGGAGACACTCACTGTCAGCAAGTCGACGGCGGCTCAGCGCCCCTATAGGACAGGGCCGGACTGCCCTGTGAGTTTCTGAGACTCTAGCTGTTTACAGCCTGGCTTTCTCCCTCGGAGCAGCTGGTGGTTTTGAACCGCTGACCTTTCCGGCCGCAACCCAACTCGGAACCCCTGGGCCACCATGGCTCCTCGTTTATGGACTGGGGCTCTGAAAACAGAGGCAACGCGCCTATTTTTAGGCATTATAGGTAAACCATCAGGGATGCTCGGCATAGTTTTATGTTAAGAAAACAATCCACTCGATCCTCTCATGTCTCCAAGATGACCCCGTTCTTTGTTTTCCCCAACCCTGCAGCAGGCTTTAGTCAAAAGCAATAAAAGCCGATTTTAGACTCGCCAAAGCAAATAAATGTTATTGCTGATGTGGAATTCTCCTTTAATTATGGGAACGTGGCGCCGGAAGGGCTCGGGGGCGTCCTAAGGGGCACGGTGGTGCGTGTGTGCTGGGGCCGTGGCTGAAGTTTAGAGAGGCAGCATGTTGACATCTGGTACCAAGATGCCCAAGAGGGCCCGGCGACTCTGCTTTCAAGACTCTGAGTCTACAGAAACACTAGCGAGGAGGTATAAATATGCACATATAAGGACGTTGCAGCGGCATTCTGGACATTTAAAAAAATAAAAATAAAAAGAGGGGAAGTCGTGCAGACAGTCACCAAGCGAGGGTGAACAGAATGAACCAGGCCACCTTCCTAGGCAGAGACCCAGGGCGACCGCCAAAAGAACAAGTCAAGAGGCGCAGGAAGGGGCACAGATGGGTGCCTGCTTGGCTGCTAACTGAAAGGCTGGCTGTTCAACAACCACCACCCCCCCCCAGCGTTTCGGGGGGAAGAAGACCCGGTGGGCTGCTCCCGTGGGCCCACTCTCCCATGGGGGTCCCTGTGGGTGGAGCGACGCGGCGATACCAACAGCAAGTGTCAGGGCGGAAATGGGAAGGTGTCCACTAGAAGCCACAACCGAGACACGTGGAGACATGCAACACGGTGTCATGTGATTTTGTGACACGTGACGTAGACCCCAGTGACTGTCCTTTCCAAAGCTCGCCACCACGCGTCCTGCTACCCCAACACACAAGTGGCTTCCTCTGGGGGGGGCTAGGTTTTTACTTTTACCCACTCGGGTTTGACCTGCATGTTCCCCAATCAGACTAGAGGCCCTCGCTGTCTTAAAGACGACGCACGTATGTATTTTCTGAAAGGGCCATTTGTCTTCTCAAGGTCCAGCACCGAGGGGTTTGAGACCATCGGGGCCACAGAGACAACGGGGGACGTCCCTGAGTAGGAGGCTCTCAGTGCGTCTGGCCTCTCAGGGGTGGGGGGCCCAAGCACTAGGGAGCTGGAACCCTAGGCTGGAAGAGGTCCGAGGTGTCCTCCTCCAACGCCTGCCCACCACGGCCCTGTCTCCGCACGGCCCAGCAGGGTGCCCTGTTTGTTGAGCACTTGCTATGCGCTCAGTGGGTCTTGCCTGGTAGGCAGCAGCCCTGCTCTCGTCTGCGGGTCCTGCGGCTCAGAGAGGTGAAGCGACCTGTCCGAAGTCACAGAGCCAGGGACCACTGCCCAGTTCTCTCACTACGCAGAGCAGTGACATGCCTGCCACCACCTCACCCCTGCCTGAGGCCGAGTCTAAACGGGGGGTGCCACAGAGAGAGGGGTCATGGGGATGGAGAGGACGAATGATAAGGTTATGGCAAGAGAAGAAAATGGGCCAAGAGCCCAGGAGGACTAGGGACCGGGGAGGCCGGGTGGGAGCAGAGGACTCCAAAGCTCAGGCAATGGGAGAGCAAGACTCTAACTACAGGGGCAGTTCTACCCTGTCCTATGGGGTCGCCATGACTCGGCATCAACATCAGCTTGGTTGGGGGGTTTTTGGTAAGACCCCCTTCCGCTCTCTCACCCCACCTCCCTGATCTCCCCAAAGACCCATAAAGAAGCCAGCAGAGAAAAGTTGAAGATGAGGGTTTATCAGAAGCCTCCAAAAGCAAAAAAAAAACAAACCAAAAAAGCCCAAACCCACTGCCAGCAAGCCCATTCCAACTCACAATGACTTTACAGGACAGGGCAGAACTGCCCCTGTGGTTTCCGAAACTGAAACTCCTTACAGGAGTAGAAAGCCCTGCAGAGGGGCTTCCCTGGTTTCTAACTGCTGACCTTGCGGCCAGCAGCCCAGCGCGTAACCCTCTACACCAGTGCGGGAGGGCTGGTAGACGGGGAGGGGCCTCGAGCAAGGTGAGAAAAGCTCCGGGCCACAGCCCCGCCCCCAGATTCCCAGAACTGAGAACGCAGTCTAGACAGGAAGTGATTAAGGCATGGATGAAGCATTTCCCCAAAGGTCGGGTCAGGGAAAGGGCAGTACTGGCACTCAGCTGCAAGTGGGGCAGAGGGGGCAAGCGTGCCAGGGAGGACAGGTGCTCCTCCCCATCTCCCCAGCAGCTTGCTGGCCTGGCCCTGCAGTCCACGGAGCCCAGCCCTGTGGCCCCCTTGACCTGCTGCCTTCCACAGCAGGCCACAATGGCGGCCCTGTGCCTTCCCCACACTCGCTCCGGAGGGACACGTCCAATTCCCCAAAGAGCAGGGGGTGAAGGAGTCACGTGGTTAGGGAGCCCTGGCAATCTGGGGGGCGTTTGGAAGCTCCTCACCCAGTTTCCGCAGGGGAATCCGGCCCAAGGGCAGAGTTTGCAGAAAAGACCTTGTGCCTCGGTTAATGGTCAACTCAATCAGGGTATAATGAGAGGGTGTGTCTGTCTTGTGCCCCATCCTAACCCTGGACCCAGGCACAGGGCCTGGCTACCTTGTGGAAGCTGAGTAACGATGCTTTTGATACATGAAAACGAGGCTGCTCCCAAGTGCTGATGTGCTCTGGATCAAAAAAGCCAAACTCAACCTGTTGAGTCCACTCTGACTCACAGCAAGCCTAAGGGGCGAGGTGACTTGCTCTAGGGACATGTTCACGGCACCTACGGCTTCTGGGGCAGGGGGCAAAGAGGACAATTCATGACGTGGGACTGGGTCAGTACGCAGACACAAGCCAAGGCAACCAGCCCCACAGAGGAAGACGGGGCCGAGGGGCTGAGAGATGAGCACCCGGGGATGAAGATGCCTGCTAAGTTCAAGAACTTCCTGAAACTGAGCCTCCTCCAGCCACAAAGCCCTCGGGAGCAGTTCTACCCTGTCCTCTAGGGTCGCTGTGAGTTGGCATCAACTCGGTGGCAACGAGTTTGGCTTGGTTTGGGGGTACCAAAACCAAACTGGCCGCCTAGATGGAGCCAGAGAGCCAAGAGATGGTCCCCTAGAGATTCAAGAGATGGCTGGAAGCCCACGCGCTGGGGCTCTCGTTGCTCTCACGTGCCCCCTGTAAGGCAGAGCAGAACCGCCCCCAATGGGCTCGCCGGGTGGTAACCTCACCAGCGAGCCACGGTGGGGTCCGAACCACCAACCTTTCAGTTAGCACCTGAGTGCTTAACCCAGGGCTCCTTCTAGGGATGAGAAACAAACTCGCTGCCATCAAGTCCACGCTGCCTCATAGAGACGCCCCGGTCAGTTACTGAGACCGTAGAGGGAACAGAAAGCCCAGTCTTTCTCCCGAGGAGCTGCCGGAGGATTCGAACTGCCGACCCTGCGGATCCCAGCCCAACTCGTAACCGGAGGGAGACAATTAGAAGAGATGGCTTCCGAGGGCCCAATCAACACTGAGATTCCTACTACCGACATATCCAGCCCCTCCTTAAATGGGTTTCTGCTTTCTGGCCCCAGCGATAACAATAAGAATACCAAGCTCCACATACATGGTGCCCAGCACACTTCAAGAAAAAGGCAATGTGTGCACTTCACTTGTCCAGTAGTTAGAG